CTATATTTGGGCAAAAATGGCCGCTCCCAGACTCAAATATGGTGACGAGAATTATTGTTTTAATTTTTTTACTGATTAACACTAAATTCATTAAATCAACGTGAACATATTAGTTTTAGGTATAAATAATCGGTTATTCCTTGCTGACCAGACTTTTCCTTTAAAGTCTGGCTGGCTCTGAAAATATTTTATCTTACGACAAAAAAAAACTCACGTGTTGACTTGAGCCTTTTTCTCTGGTTTTCTGTTTGAGATGACAGACTTTGACAGGCTTGGACAGTGATTTTTAAATTGGATCTGCAAATCAGCTCGGTAGTCCAGGTTTTATTAATTCAGACAGTTGGCCAAGGTCAAACCTTTTCTTGCACAGCAGCACTTTGAAACAGTAATTCCTGCCTGTATTACATCTGGACAATTGAATCGCACTTTATTTTGGGGTGAACCAGTCCTCTCTAGCACGTCTCCAGTTGGTGCAGTCTGCGGCCTTTTAACTGAGTACATAAGAAGGAGCACATCACTCCCATCCTGACCTCCCTCCATTGGCTGCCTCTGCATTTTAGAGTTCATTTTAAGATTTTTTTTTTCCAGGTCAGCTGACCTGCTGCTCATTAGACAATCTTCACTGTCTATTTCTAAAAACACATTTTAAACCTATTTCCATTCTCTGGCTTTCAACACAGCATCAGACTCTCCTTTTTTGTGTGTGGTTTTGTTTTAATTGTCTGTCTTGTGTTTTTTTTGTTAAAATGTAATTGTTTATTTTATTTTACTTGTTCTTGAAGTTGATTTTATTCATATTAAACTTTCCATGGTATGTATACAGCACTTTGTGGCCGATGTGGTTGTTTTATAGTTCTGTATAAAAAAAAGTAGAGTTGAGAAATTAGCGAAAGATCCTACATACATAGCAAAACACAACTTTAATCTCATTCCATCTAGAATAAATATTTCACCTTATTAAAGCATAGTTTTGGATGCATAAGCAGCTTTCTCCCAAATGGTCCTTTGATTCTACATCAGCTCTTTAAACACATCAGTTCTTCTCAGATACCTGAGATGCAGTTGACTTAATTTACAGTAAAATGGACCAAACTGCAGTAAAATTCAGTTGACAAAATCTACATTAAAATGTATTGAGAAAGATGCAAGAAAAAAAGACTCAAGAGACTAAAACTACAGTAAAAAATGTTATGAAACTGAAATGATGACGGATTGATAGACAGATAGATGGATAGAAGTCCAGAATTAGTTATAGCTAATAAAGATTTCTTGTTTCTTCATTAATAAACTTTAAAAAATATTTTTGTTTCATTTGCTAGTGACTTAAAATTAAATTAACATTTTTTTCTTTATTAAAAATTAGTAAAATATAATAAAGTTTTGGGGAGAAAGAATTATCCAACAAGTCGATCAATTTGCATTCTGATAAAAGTGAGCCTGAAAAAAGGCAAATCTAGTAAAATTAGAGCTAAATAAATGAAATAATTTCCATATTTCTTTTCCTTTTTGTGTAAAAGGCAGAGCGAATAGATGGCTTTTTAGATTTTGAAATCGTATTAATCTGATGCCTCCCATGCCCACTATTCAAAGCATATTACTCAGCGCTGTTTTTAAAACACCCAGTCGGAAGGTTCATTTTCATTCCAGTGATGCCAGACAAGTGCTCACATGCATCTGAGTTTGTGCAGCCTCTGAAAGGGCATGACAAAGGGATATAAAACCACCACAAAACATTAAGGTGGATTGTGCTTAATCTCTGCTGTAAATGAGCAGCGTTTTTCCTGAGATTAGTGCTTATTACCCTGACTGAAACCTTAGAATGAGGAGAAGTAAGCAGCAGAGGCAGAGTGAGAGCAGCTCTTTCTTCCCGGCTCACATTTGAACATCAAAAGTCAGACGGCTTTGGGCTGCCATTCCTCCTTTCCGGCTGCAAATGAGAAAAATCAAAGGCCTATTATGTGTCTCAGGCCGGATGGAAAAGGCCAACGAGTGGATGTTCTGCTTTGGATGGCATGCCACTTTCATTTTCATGTTTCCTATCAAAATTGACTAGCAGAAAGCCACCTCAGGACTAATTGCTCCTTTGATTCCAGATCAGCTCTGTAGAGCTCTCTGCAGCAGCTGGGTGCTCAGGCAGGATATGAACATGTCACAGTGGAAATAGTTATTTCAAAAAGCAACAACTGTTGTTTAGATGTACGTAGGTGATTATCCTTAGAATTGCGCCGTACTCGTTGGACCCTTTCATTGTATTACAGGTGGGAGACATATTTTTAATAGATCATCCATTTTTATTTTTAGCTTATTGTTATTTTATGGTAGTCAGGTTGGGTTAAAAAAATAAACCTGCAGAAGGTTTTGGCGAGTTAGACACGATTTACTGTTGAGGTTAATTCAATTTAATTCAATTTATTTCTATAGCTCCAATTCACATCATGTCATCTCAGGTCACTTTCCAGTTCACCAGATTGATTCAAAGTTTTCTATTTAAGGAAAACCAGCTGATTGCATCGACTCATTGACTCCCTCTCA